AACCCAACCCCCAAACCCTAAAAAAGTTCCAAAATCATAATGGGAAGGCTAGGTGCTGTTAGCTGGCCTTGTTTTTTTTTTCTTAAAAAATATTATTTTGTATGTAAAAATTATTTCAAAAATCGTGAAAATTGGGGTTTTATCATTTCAACTTTTTTCAGGATCGTTGAACGAGCCCCAATTGTATTTAGAATGACGATTCATTTGAAAAAATAGGCTTTACCAACCCCAACAAACCCAAACCTGCTTCAAATTTTAATTATTATTGAGCTCCACATAATCATTCAGAACTTTCAAAATACAAATAACATATTTTCAACCTTCTATATATTCTATGATTGTTAATAAATTATTTTTTACATAGGACATATAATTTTATTGTAAATTCAAAATCAACTTAGAGGGTATCCTTTTTTCCTTAATAAAGATTCCCCGCTTTGACTGCTAAGAATGCATCTCCAAACGTTCTACATTATTGGCAAACTCTGAAAAAATAATTGTAATTAGGAATATTTGAAATGGGATTAATAATTTCAATTCTGGTTTTTTGATTTGCTTATTTTTTTTCCAAAAAATAACTTCCTTTAGATTTTAATAATTGACTTAAATCTATTCCTTAATTTTTCTCGAATTATTCTTGAAAAATAAGTGCTCCTTGTGCTTGAATTATAGCCGATTGGGATATAAGGAGAGTATTAAGATTTTAGGACCCTAAAAAATTAAGAATTTCTACATTCATCAAGAGATTTTTAATCTAAGGGTGTTTTGTATTTAACAAGAAGGTCTTTGTAATTTTTATTAGAATTTTATAGATATTATCCAGTCTTAACATTCCATAATCATATAGATTAATCTTAACTACTAGAAGCTAGCATAATTCCATCTGGAGAGAAGCATATTGAAAAGACAGTGTTTGTCTGACCATCCAATTTTGCTATTTATTATCCATTCTTTACTTACAACAAACGTATTGACTTATCACCACTACCAGAAGCTTATAAAGTTCCTTCTGGTGAAAAGGAAACTGATAGTACAGTACTATTATGACCGTCCAATTTTAGTTTTTATTCTTCTTTCTTAACATCCCATAAACGGATGGAAAGCATACTGAAGCTTAAGTATGACCATCTATTTACGCTTTTTATTATACACTCTTAAACGGATTGACTTATCCTAACTACATGATGCTAAAGTCGTTCTTTAAATGAATTCCCTATCAATAGCAGTGAGTTTAACTAAAAATTTTAGAAATTCGATAATCTTTTTTTCTTTTTTAATTTTTTTAATTAATTCAAGTCTAGTTTATTCATAAGTGTAAACTGAATAATTATTTCTATTGAACTCATTTTATTTAATTTTTTTTGTAACTTAAACATGCTTTTAAAGAAATTAAAAAATGTCTGTACTTCTCTCCTTTTTAGATTTTTCAACTACCACACCAAATGTTTATAAATCTATATATTTTGAAGATATTAAAATGTCATATAAATCTTACATTTTTCAGTTTAAATTTATTTCAAATCACTATTGAATTATTCTATATGATCAACTACTTCAAAATACTTATTCTATTTATTGATTTAATTATTTATAAATTTTCATCTAATCTTGAAATAATCATTTTCTCTAATAATTCTCTTTATTCTTTATTGATTTTATTCTTCTTTTCTTTTTCCTTTAATTTTTTTTATATCTGTGTTTGTGTTATTTAGAGAATTTGCTGAGTATTCGTTGTTACTAGTTTCAAAAAATGTTTCATTTGTAAAAATTTCATAAAAGACCAACCCCAAAGACCAAATGTCATAATCTTTTGTAGTAAACACTTTAGGTGCCATTTAAAAATTAGTTCCTTCATTTTAAGTTTGAATTGACTCAAAATATTTCTCTTACGAAATCTTTTTTGAGGTTCCAAAATCTATTAATTTGATTTTCTTATCCTTGAAATTACAAAATTTTCGGGTTTTATATCTCTATGAAAATATCCTAATTAATGGAATTCTCGAACACCTTTTGCCCCCTAAGAAAATTTTCAAATTTTTTACCTACAAACAAATTTTGCGTTTTTTAGAGTCGATGTTAAAATTAATTTTTTCTCCAAGTTCCATAATTGTGAAAATTCCATCTTTATGAACTTCAAAAGCAAATATCTAAATAATATGTTCAGTTTTTTTTCCATTAAGAATCTGTAATATTTTTTTTTCATTATCCTTTAATGTTATTTATATTTTTAGAGCAAGAGAAGCGTTGTCATCGGTTTTTATTTCTTGATAAACATTACCAAATGCCTCCTTTACTTTTTTCATGTAAATTTTTTCTACATTTATTCCAAATTCTATTAAAATTTATTAATAAATTTTTTTCAAAAAATCTTTTGAACTTTAAATTAAATCAACTTTTCAACAATTTCTTGGAGAAGATGCATCCCGACTCATAGATCTAATTTTTTATTCTTAGAGTTACAATTGTTTTACAGTAAAATACATTAATTTATAGATAAGAACAAGTTACTATTTTTATATAAATTTGTATTAATTATATAAAAATTTTTTAAATTATATCAAATAAATTTATATAAGCAACTAATATTTTTACAAATTTGTGAAAGATAACAAATTAAAAATTTATCATTTTTATTTTTAGCTTATCAATAAAGACATTTGTGGCCAATAATTCAATAAAATTATTTCATTTTCAGCTTTCCACCCTTGATGAATTGGCCAGCTGATTATTTAAATTGTTTTCTCATCCTTCATATCGATTCAGCTATTTCATTTTCATTTTACCATTCAATCTTCATTGAACCTTAATATTGAGGAAAATTATACTCAAATTTGTAGAGATTATTGATCTTATAACACGATAAAAATTAAACAAAAACGACAGAATTTATAATCAATATCTAGATACAATGATAATTAAATTATCTTAAATATATTCTGATTTACATTTTGATGAAAATAATTAAATATGTCTTATTAAAATTCTTGAAGTGGATTTAGATTTAATTGAATTTTTAAATATTATAAGATTCTATAGATAAAATTAATAAAAAAGAATTTTATCTGTATTCTTTAAATATACTTGTTTTAAGATGCTTATAATAGGGGAGAATTGCCAATTCTAACTACTACTTTGATATTATAAATGAATTGATTTATCTACACCTTAAACTTTAAGATGTAATGAAGAAAATCTTCTTCATTATCAGATTTTTAGAATTCTTTTTTAGATATTTAATAAGACATTTCTCCATAGCCTAAACCTGTAACAGACTCTCTAGCCTAATTTATAAAAGTTTTGATGATTCTATGATTTCCTTGGCTGCAATAAAGAATTTAACAACTTCAATAATTTATTTTGTTATTAATATGTTTCTCATTCCTCTTCTCATCTCTCCTTTTTTTTAGGGAATCTTTTCTCCCTGAGCATAACATTCACCAATTTATATATTTAATAAGATAAATCCATTGCTGTAATAGGACTGTTATTAGTAAATATTTATAAAAAATATTAAACTACATTAATTTATCAGTAGACGAGATAAAATATGCCTATCTCCCTTAATTATAAAATTTATATTGGTGATTTTCCAGATTAGGAAATTCACTAATTTAAATTAATATATTGGGAAATATCTAAATTAGGAAATTCACTAATATAAATTATTTTCTAATTATATAAATTATTTTATATAATTAAAATCAAAAAACTTATTCTTCTTTTTTAGAAAAGTGATTTGGTGATTATCCATGAGTGGAAATTCACAAATATATTAGTGAATATCCATTTGAGGAAATTCACCATTGCTTTACAATAATTTATAGAAATGAATTTCCTAATCTAGATATTCCCCAATATATTAATTTAAATTTGTGAATTTCCTAATTTGGAAAATCACCAATATAAATTTTATAATTAAGGGAGATAGGCATATTTTATATCGTACTGATAAATTATAATGTAGTTTAATATTTTTTATAAATATTTACTAATAACTGCAAATATTTACTTATGAGAGCTATACAATTTTAGAAATGTTCCACAATTAATACCATAATTAATGTCAATCTGATTATTGCATCAAAATTCTAAACAAATAGAGCTTATTAGAATAATAGTATTCGAAATGGGCTAAAAATAGTTTATATTCTAAGTTTTTGGGATAAAAATAGATTAGAAAAACATTATAAATGATTGTGATTTTAAGTTGTTATTATCAAAATTGAATTGAAGAATTTCATTTCTGAAATAGTTTTGCATATAAAAAAAATAATTTATAAATTAATAATAATTTATATATTTAAAGGTCATTTTTATAATTTTTTTGAATATCTAAAAATAAGTTATTAATTTAACATTAATTCCTAAATTAAAAGGTCATTATGACTGAAGATTCAAATAATCAAAAATCTTCTCCATTAACTTTATAAAATAAAGCAGCTATTTAAATTGAGCAATCATATTTTTACATTATCATCAACTTATGGCTTAGACATTACAATTTTTAAAAGTTATTGTCAGTGTATTTCGTCCATTTTTTATTTGGTAAGTACTTTTATTTTCTAAAGATTCTCAATGTCTTAAAAATTGATCTCTAATTTTATTGTGTTTCTTAATGTTGATAATGTCAAATCTAATAGGATTTCTCATATCAGTATTAAAAAAATCCGAAGTTCAAAATAATCAATTGCTTCCCTAACTTTGAGCATAGAGCTCTCCATATATTTTTGCATCTATCCAAAATTTAGCCCTTTAATATTTTAATTTCATAATAAAAGTTTGGCAGTTTTTCATTCCTTGAATTTAATCCATTAAAATCTCCAACTTATCATTATACTTATGCTCAATTTATTAGAAAGCTTTATTTATTAGTTTAACCTCTCAAATTCAGATATTGACTTAGAACTAAAGTTTTCTTTGTTGAACTAATTCCAAAAAAGAATAATTAATATTGTCCCTCACATTCAAGATAATCAAACATTAAATATCTGAGTAGTTGATAGTCTAATCAAATATCACATTAACTAAAATTTCAATAAAATCAATCAAATTATTTAAATAAAATTCTAACCACTCCTTTTAAAACTTATAATATTTTTCTCGAGTTTAATTTAAATAATTTATCTTTTATAATTGAAAGATTATCTTGAAAAATAAGTCATTTTCATACAATAAAAATAGGGCTATTAAAATTGATTTATTGTTTTAATTTTATTAAAATATTTTTTATTTTAATTATATAACAATAGAATAAAATTTTTTTTTATTGATAAGAGATTTTAAAAGTTGTGTCTCTCCTTTCAAATCTAAAAATAAAAATAAAAATAATGAATCCTAACAAAAATTTACCTATAGTGAGATTAAAATTTAAATGCCCTCCAGATTGTGTCTGTAAGTCAACTGAAATAAGAAATTGGTATCATGGTAAGTGCTGCCAGCCATCATTTATAACATCAAAAGGCGATATATTTTGCGATTAAGAAGGCTGCTCGCATTATTTCATTAAAGATGCTAGGTTTTAATGCCAAAAAGCATAAAAAGATAAAACCTATTATCAATATAAAAGTATATCCGAATTTCTAATGGCTATTTCGTTGGCAATGTAAGCAAGTGATTATGAAATCAAAAGTGAGTTAGAAAAATAGAATTTTTCAAAAGATCTCCTTCAAGGAGTTTTAGAAAGATGGAATTATTGATACAAATTATGATTAATTTATTATTGTTATTCAAAATTTCAACTTCTTAAAAAAAGCAAGAAAAATTGATGAAGCTATAAATTCCATGATATTATTAAAATGCAAGCTCTAAACTCTTCATTCTGTTTTTAATTATACATTATTCTTGCTATTCCAAAACATTCAGCCCAATAGTCCATCTAATTGCAGTCACAAATCGATTGAAGCTTTTAATGATCAATTAGAAGGATATCATAAAATTGAACAATATGAAATATGAATGAGAGATGTCTAATTCCTGTAATCTCAAACAAAAAAAATCTATTCATATGTATTAAATATTATATTATATCAAGGTAAAAAGTTATCTTCTACCCCATCTTAGAATTGTTCATCATCGATATTTTATCTCATATTGGTTTTAGGAGGTGGCTATTTATTACCTCTTCTATAGAAATTATAAATTATTAATAATTACCTTGTGTTATTGGTGAAACTAACAGGGTTATCATCACCTTAAGGTAACCTAACTTATTCCTCTTCATTATTAATTAAATTAATATCTTGACCTTGATATCCTTCCATCATTTCCATTTCTCTTTCTAATTTTCTTAATTATCCTGCATACTCTTCATATGGTAATCCCATTTCTCTACATAATTAAACTAAAAATCTTAGACCTATAGTAATGATAATAATAATTGATACATTCAATATTATCTGGGTAATCAGAATAGATTTTCTAATAGTTTCCTAATGCTTTTTAAAAATGTCCCATTCTTCTATAACAACTAGCAACCATTAATTTCCATTTCACATCTCTTGTCTATACTTATGCTGCTCTCTCAAAATACATGCTTGATTTCTCATACATTTCTTATTTAACATAATACACTCCTAGCCATGATATTGTATCAATATTTGTAGGTAATATTCTGTATGATTCCTAAAAATAATGCAATGCTTGTGGTTCATCATCTTCCTATTATAATATACTATTATAATTACTCTTGCAAATAAAGATCCTAATCTTGCTAGAATATTTGGATCATTTGGTACTTTATTCAATAATTCTAAATACCATTTCATAGCTTATTTTGAATTTCCTGTCATTTCATATAATGTTGCCATTTAGTACAAAACCTCAGGGATACATACAATAGTTTATAATTTATCTAAAGCTTATAAAGATTCAACAAACATATTTAATTTTCTATTTACGTAAGCTAAATTATAAAGTGCTTCAATGCAATCTGCTTCAACACCTATAGCTTCTAAATATTATTCTTTAGCTCTTAAGAATTCGTTTTTAACATATAAGCAATTTCCTCTGTTTACTAAAGCCTTAGCATTGTATCGATCATATGTAATAGCAATTTCAGCATATTTTTCAGCTTGCTTATAATCATTTTCTAGGAAATATAGAAATGAAATATTCGTAGCAATACGAGCCATGATTTATTTATCTTTTTTTTCAAATCCTTTAAGTGTTTCAATAGATTTTTCAATATTCTTTTTTTTTAAATAAGCCATGGCTTTACATATTTCAATTTCAGTTTCAGCTTCAGGGAAAGTTGAATTCTTAAGTTATTCTAGAATCCACTCATATCCAACAATTATATCTTCTTCTATTAAAGGAGCAATTAATTTAGCAGAAGTAGCAATGTAGTATATAGCTTCTCTTCTTCTTTCTTTAGTATCTTCTCTTAATTTATCAGTAATTGTTGTACCCTTGTTTTCATTATTTTCTTCCTCACTTTCCCCTGGGATTTCAATAGTTAATAGGGTAACAAAATAATCTTTCATTTTATTCTTATTTCCACTCAAATATAAACAAATCATAAGATTAAAACCAGTAGGGAAGTCAGGAGAGCTTTTGAGTATTTATTCATAAGTAGTAATAGCCTCTTTAATTTTTTCTTTACCTAATCTTACTTAAGCATGACCAATGTTTTTTTAAATTTTGAATCTCATTTCTTTAGATGTGGCAGGAATTAAATCTAATGCCATTTTATACATTTTAATGGCAGTAGTGTATTTTTTCTATTCAAAATAAATATTTCCCATATTAACTCTCAATCTTCCCGCTTAAGGATATTGTTTACATTTAATTATTTCTTAGTATTTTGCTAAAGCATCAGAATGAAGTCCATTAGCATGTAAAGCACAAGCTTAAGTTAAAGCTGCACAATAACTAAGATCAGTATTAATGGATTCTGCTAAATTTTGTGCTTCTTTTGATTGTCTTAATTTTTTTTCTTTATTGAATGCTTCTTTGGCCTTTTCTAAACATTCAGAGAGATTGCCTCTTAATTTAGACATAGCACTTTATTCTATTAAAGTATTAATCTCTTTTTCAATAGTTTTAAATTACTCTTCAGGATTAGTTTCAAGTTTTGGTTTATTCAAATTAATTTGATTTTGAGTAGAATTGAATGGATCCTTTTTCTATCCAAAATTAGCTCCTCTATTTGATGTCATAGGTCTAGCTTCTGCTTAAGGTTATCTAGCAGCTGTTCCAAGTGGTTTTCCTCTAGATGGTTATGGTCCACCTGGTGCAGGTTATTATGCCTATATATTGATATAAATAATATTGTACTCTAACATTCTCGAAATTATAATTATTTACAGGAGGCTTACCACCTGCTTGATTGAAATTATTACCACTTATACCAAAGGCTCCATATTAAGATTAATTCATAATATATATATATATATATTATTTAAATTTTGATTAATCATTCTCCAAGAAATAGGATTTTGCATGAATTAAAAGCATAGAAGAACATTTGAAATTCATCATATTGCATATTTAATTTACGTAACGATAATTCTTTTTACATGTTAATCTAATTAATATACATTCTATTTACTTCATCTGTTGCTCTTTATGATTGATTTGGTTTTGTTGTTGCTAATGTTTTAGCCTGTTTCATATCCACTGTGAATTTACTCTTTATTTCCTTTCTCCAGTGTAAAGAATCAAATTGAGCTTTTTAATCCAATAAAGTTAAGAAAAATTGTATACCTAAAGTGAAACCATCATCCTAATTAGATATTTATATCTTATTACACTAATAAACACTTCAGTAGTTGAGTTCTTCTTTCCTATCTAATCTTTTGATATCAACATCTTTTCTATGAAATTTAAAGTCAATGTAGGAACAATTAAATAAAATAGAGATAAATGTTCATTTTCTGGGGATTTGATACTTGAAAATGCATTTAACAATAAGTTTATATAATCTATCTTCTCAGAAAAACTAGATTTATATTATGTAAATATCTCTTCTAATTCTTTTGCAGTACTCACTGTAGCATCTATTATAAAATATAATAATATAATTACCACTGAATCCAGCTTCTCTTGTAAGTGATTCTAATTGAGTTGAATTATATTAACTTGGAATATATTCTAAACATTTTGAATTTACATGCAAAGCAGCTGATCTTAATAATCTTACAAATGCTAATGCATTTCCTATTTGAGTTATTAAAGTTCTAAATTTATCAAGATAATTAGATCCATCATCAAATGTACCCATTTTCTTTATTTCTTTGTATAAAGCCTCTGCTCTTTCAATAGGATATTAACCATCCAATTCATCTTTTTTCTCTCTAAAGAATCTATCTTCTCTCACTAAAGGTGATTAAATTAAATCATCAAACAAAAATTAAGAAAACATTTGAATTTTTCTAATGTTCATAATAATATTACTTCTATAAAAATTTATACACACTGTTTACTGTTGTACTCAATATACCAATACCATGTGTTCTAATTGAATCAGCAATCTATTGAATACTTATTGAATAAACCTATTTACTTTCAGATGTAACCTAATTATATTCAATTTATATATATATACCTAAACAAATTATTATTAATATAAGTTGTATGTATATTTTGTAAAGAATTATTAAATGCTTTTCAAAACATTGAGAACATCGAAATTTCCTTAATCAACTGTCTAAGTTGGTAAATAGACATTAATTAAATTTAAACCAAACTTAGAATTAGCTAAACTTCTCATTTATTCATAAGTTTCTTAGTCGTACATATTTAGTACATTAATGTTATAGAATGTTTCATTAAGTATTTAGTTGATTTCAGTTCTTAAATTGACAATAGAATCGAAAATCAAGACATAATCAATGTCTAATAATCTCTTTAAGTCTTTCACTTATTATTTGAATGGATTCAATGCTGTAATCTTTTCAATTAAAACTGTATGCACTTAAATTCTTAAATAATCTTCAATATCTCTTGCTAATGGTTATAAATATTGTGTATAAAATTCTTTAACAACAAATTATCTAAATGAATCAAATAATTCATCAGGATTCTCTAAATGCATACAATCTTTTAATTAAATTGAACAATCTGAAACAGCATTCAATAAAAATTAGAATCTCTTTGCTTATGAAGGATTTTAATATATATATTAAAAGAAAGAAGGTAATAATTCTCTACACCAATAAAAATATGTACTAGCCGTAACCTTCTTAACATAATAAGGCAATAAAATCAATTTATCAAGTCTCCATAGAATGTTTCTAAAGTCTTCCTTTTCTTAATTTGTGAAAATGTCTTTTGCTACCATAAAATCCATCAAAAAATACATTGTCTATAATTTTAATGGAGAGAGTGTGCTTTTAAGAATTGAATTTAAGATTTATAATGCTCCCAATATTTCAGCACCTCCAGTTCCAAAACTTTTAAGATTAGCTTTCATCTTTTCTAAAACTTATTGAATAATTTTTTATCCATTTTTTGTTATATGATTTTAAATTAAGGCAGGTTAAAATACATCATATTTTTATTCAAAATAATATTCTATTGCTTTTAACATTTCTACAGCCAAAACTACATCTTTTGATAATGACATATCTAATGATTATTCTTCTAATCCAAAATTTCCTAATAACAATGATTACAATAGATTTCTTGTCTATGATGCTATTGTCAATCCTTATAAAACTAAAACTACTCTCTAATTCATTCTCTCTTCAATAAATCTTTATGCTCTTTCTCTATCAATTTTATCAATATTATTAAATGAGGCTTGACTGCATGAAAATGAATCAACTCTTACAATCCAAGTTGTAAATGCAACATATTATGCAGTTAATGCACTTTAAAAAGAGGCTGACAATCTTTATAAATAATTCTTAAAATTTGCAATTGGATCTTTAGGATCCATTGACTAACTTTTTTTTGTTAATGGAGTTACTTCCATTAAGAATTTACTTAAATAACATAAAACTTAAGAATGTCCATCTACCATTGGTATCTTCTTTTATAAAGACCAAAGATTTTTCCAAAGATCTCTATTTTCATCATTTGGATATAATTATCTTACTAAAGCATAAACACAAAATGTAGGTAATAATAAATCTCTTTCAAACATTTCTTTAGCTGTTCCTAAAGTCTTATCAAACAATTCATATCTTTCTTTCAGATATGTATTCAATAAATTAAAGAAATCTTTATTATTCTTAATAGCTGGAATATTAGCATTTTTCTCTTTTCCTGTTTTTTCATGTACATTTTAATCCCAATTCTAAGCTAAAACTGATTAGAGACAATTTCCTGACAATACTGTTTTATCTAATCTAATCATAATTTTTTCTAATTGTTTGACATTCTATGCATTTGAATTAAATTTAGTAGGATCTGGTTTCACAATTTTAATCATTCTCTTACAAAAATTCCAATGTTCTTATAGATAATCATTCTATTCTACAACATTATCTAAGACATAAATAAGTTGCAATGCTCTTCCTATTGTATCTAATGGGAAATTAAGATTAAAGATTTTCATAATTTTAGAGATGGGATCTTTTTTATTGTAAAGCAAATTCAATTGATTGACTAAATGGGTGATGTAATTGATGAGTTTTTTAATAATGTCATAAATTTACTTGAATTATCCTAACATTCTACAAATCATGATTTCAGCTTCTCCATCAACAAGTTTTCTTTCTTCTTCTAAATGTAGATCTGCTAATTCTCCATAGATGGTAAGTTTATCAAGGAATTTATAGAACTATAGAATAATAAGTATATTAATATACTTAATCTTCAATCTATCTGATTTAGTTATCAATGAATACGAAAGATGCACTGATCTTATCAAAGACTTTATTATCAGATTTCATGAAATCAAACAATCCCATGTTTTTTTCATAAACCATAAAATGACTCTGAATTATGTTTTCATAATCAGGTGAAGTCAATGGTATTTGATAATCTTCTTCAAAAGCTGAAAACTTAACAATGTGATTATTGTACAACTGATTAAACTTTTAGAAATATTCTTCATATGGTTTAGCTGAAAATGTTTATTAATACTTACATGCAATTAATACTTCTTTACCAAATAGACCATCATCTTCTAAATCGATATCTTCTTCTTCATCAAAATAATTTTATTTCTTCTGTTCCTCTTTTTATTGCTGGAATCTATTTTTCTTCATTGTATATTTTTATTATATATATAATAATATTAATGTCAACCAATATATTATACAAATTGATTATATCCCATTCTATAATGGCGATTAAAATCATCGTAAATTAAGTTCTAGAAGAAAAGTTCCTCCCATTAAGTTTTACTCCCTTATTTTACTATATACAATGGTACATATTTAGTATATTTATTACTATAATTTATATTAGTTAATACATACTTTCTTAATTCTTAAATAAGAAAATAGAGTTTATCGTTGATTAAATTTTTAGAGTTGGAATAGAGATTATCTTCAATCAAATTCATATTTTAATACTATTGTCCAAAAATATCAGCCATTTAATTTTCATCATGAATTCTACTCATAGATGATCATTCAGTACTTGCAAATGAATAAAATCAAACAATATCCACAATCCATAAGCAGCAAACCTCCATTAGATACTTCTTCTAAAACCAAGGAAATTGATTATGGATATATAAAATATCCATTATCATCATATACACATTCTTATTCTTTCAAATCTGAGATATTATACAATTGAGGTACAATATAAGTTACTAATTCATCAACATTCAAATATTAGTAAATTGATCTTAAATAATTCATATGATCAGTTAAAACAGACTGTTGATCATAATTATAATTAAGGGTTTGGGATTTCATTATTCCTAACATATAAGAATGTAAGAAATCCAAAGGTTCCTTGTAGAATTAACAATTTTTAGATATTGATCTTGTTGCAGCAATCAAAAAATCTTTAGTTTAAATACAATCTTTAGCATCTTTTGCAATATTTAATTGAGATAAAGCTATCTTATACAATGAGATTGCTAAACATGATTAATCAATTTGAGAGTAAATTGTCTTAATAGAATTACTTATAGGAATACAAATATTATGAACACGGATTCTTCTTTCTCCATTAGTTGATGTATATAATAATGCTGTCTAAACATATAAATTATCGTATGGTGCTCTAGGTTGATTCAACTCCAATTCATACATTAATACTTTTTGACTAAATAATAATGATTAATATATATTACTCTTCAGTACAAGTTACATTCAACAAATCTGCATTCTTTACTGTGTAATTCCCATAAACACTTTTTATTTTCCATCCAATTGATAATCGTATTCTAAATACAGATTCCCATGTGTATTCTCTTCTTAAAACTGCATAGAAATCATAATAAAATTTTTATGCTTAATAATTAATTATAAATTTATACAGTAAGTTATAGGATCATCATAATAAAACATATCTCCATTTAAATATTTGACTAATTAATTTAATGTACCAACATTATTAAATCCTGATTATACAATAAAAATTGATGGACATATATAATTTAAATGCATCTTATCACAAACTTACTTTAAAATATTATTTGTTGGTTAAAAGTGATATTAAGAACTCTTCTAATTTTCAGCAACATTTAATTCTTTAATTGGAGAAGATGTTAATATTATCAATTTACCTCCATTATCTTACATAATCTTTTACACCAAATTCAATGCCGACATGAATTAAGTACTCTTTAATTATGGTTTAGGAAATAAGCGATCCAATTGATTTAAAAATGCTACAATAATATCTTTAGAATCTTATAAATTAAACATATAATCTTCACGAGTTGGCATCTCATTATCATCTGTTAATACATACATTTATGGTGATTTAAGTTTACTATTAAAATTGTATAAATGTATGCTTGTGTCATATGTAATAAAACCAAACAATGTTCTATTATTAAATTTATCCTCTAGAATCATATCTTTAATTATCTATCCCATTATACTCAAAATCCCTTCACTCTTACTTGACACGTCAATCATAAAAAAATATGCAGGAGCCATAGGTGGTCTCATTTAATATTCTTATCCTGCCTTTATATCATATGATCCTGTATTCAAATCAGGTCTCTTTTCTAAATCTTCAGGTCTTAAGAAGTTTTTAGGTATTTTTATTATGCAAGTACAAATATTACATCTCAAATAATCTTCATCCTTAAGTTATTCCATAAAAGGATTTATGTATGCTCTACAATTCTGACATCAATATTGGAGTACTCCCATAATTTACTGTTGGAAATCCTTCTTTTGATGATTATCCATAAGGTTATATTATCACTCCAAATGGTATTTTAGCCTCTTAATACATTTCTTTTGTTCTAGGAAACACTCTACATGTGCTTCTTATGTTATTTACAGAATTGTATTGCTAACATTTCTCTAAATTTTACAGACATTCTTAATCCTATTTTTCAAACAATTATTATTGACTAACATTCTTAAATTAGGTGTCAGGTATTTATTGTTATTATTACAAAGAATCTAATCTACCACTCTTCTCCAAAATTTTTTTATGAACACTCATTTATTATTATTTATTAAATATTAATGATTCAAACATTTTATAGATGGATGCCACGATTCAGATTTTCAACTAAACTTGGATCATCCAATGTTGCATCTGGTACTCAAACATAAGCTACTTAATCAAATCCTATTCCTGTTTATTTAAGACCTTATGATGCCAAGAAATATGAGGTACCATCATCTAAAATCAAATTAACCACTGGATACAGTTTTCTTGATGTTGAACCTATGCCAAGAGCAAAGATAATGAAGTTATGCTATACTATACTTGATAAATTAAAGTTAGAAATTCCTGAAGGCGTTCTTTACAGAATTTATACTGAAGAGAAATTAAAATATATTATGCGTATTACAGATGAAATCGAAGATATTAGACAACTTGAAGAGGAATTTGGATTTGAATAGATAGAATTTCTTATCCAATAACTTGCTAAAGAAGTTGATTTAGTTGATCAAATGAAGTAAATAACAACTATATATTTGTATAGATATTTTAAACCATGGGAATAGACTTAAGATGAAAGTACATTTGAATTGTTAAGATAACCTCATCCCGCTTTGAAACACTAAAGAAATGAAAAGCCACCAAGAGAATAAACTAAATTTATTGGAAATTGATATTCACAATAATAATAACAATAATAAATATTATCTTCATGAACTTAATAGATCAAATACAATAAGAAGTAATCTGTTCTACAATTATTTCTATAGATAACTACTTACTTTCCGAAACTTACAAATAAGTTGTAAGAATTAGGTTAATCAACATAAACAATCCCATAACCAAACACTGCCTTAAAAGGGATTCAAGTTATTATCTCTGTATTAGATGAGTTATTTGGGTATTTTATATTCACTTCTCTCTCTAGAATTTTACATGAAATCAATTCCCAATATACCTAGTTAGAATAACAATTATAAAAGTATGAGGGAGAATGCCGATCTCATATCAGGGTATCAAAAACTAAAATTACTTTAGACAGAATAGAGATTAAAAATTCATTGTGAAAATATACAAGAACTCTATGAATAATAATTAAATCTAGAGAAAGAATATAAGAGTTAAATTATTGTAATGATTCTTATATATTTGTTAGGGTTACCAAAAAGAGATTGCATAATTAAAAAAAGATCTCGAAGATAATTAAAATTAGAAGAATCAGTAACTCCAACAAAAAACATAATCGATTATAGATAAAATTTTATTGGATCAGTAGAAATAAACTATTCATATTGAATCAAAATAAAGATCAAATACATTCCACAACAATTTTATGAATCTCAATTAACAAAAATAATCTATCTCTTTTAAAACAAACTCTAGAAAAAATAGATTGATTACAGAATACTAAGATTGTTAAACTAAGTAAATATTATCATAATATTGAAAGCTCTAAATAATCAATTGAAGAGAAATAGTATTCGTCTCTTGAAAAAATTTAAGAATTAGCAACCCTCTATTCTCGACCAAAATCTAGATTGCAAGATAATATAAATAAAAAATCTGTTACATTGCATATTGCTTAAATGAAAGTCAAATAAGTAAAAAAAACATGATATATACATATATTTTTATCATTTACAATTTTACAATTTGTAATTAGTTACCAAATATATCATATCTTCGAGAAATTATTTAGAATATTTATCTAAATCTGAATATGATTTTACATTAAATTCATCAGAAGATGAACTTCTTTTTAGTTATTAACTAAAATAAATATCTGGGAATTAGACAGATTCAATTATTGTGGATTCAGTTGATTTCTATAAGATTATAGTTTTCTTTTTAGATTATGTAACAGTTGATTATTTTAGAGGTTAAGTTGAACTTTCTATAGCATCTTCCATTATAACATCAAAACATTGTTAATTACATTTATCTAATCCGCAAACCTATTCTAAATAAGTTTTCCTAGGTAATCGTTATAATCTTGTATTCCTTTTATCTGGATTTAATTTTCTTGCTACCATTGTAGGAGCTCTTAATAACTTAGGTTTAATAGTAGAAGGGGATGATAATCTAGATTAAGATACTTAATCTAAATTTTATTATAACTAATCTTATTCTTTTTTTAATTTAGTTAAATTCATTACTAATTTTGAAAAATTATTATTAGATGATTTACTTACTGATTATCTTTGATCTTTTTTGTTATGTAAAAATTATACAAATTTACTTTTCAATTTATTCTTTTTTTATTGTTCTTTTTATTACCTCACATTTTCAGCGTATAATTCTGCATTATAATTTTGAAGTCTAGCTATTGAATTTAAATTAGATGTGGGTGTAAAATTAGTATATTCTTTGATTGAATCAGTTCTAAATGAATCTTTAATTCTCAATATTTCTGGAGTAGTCTAATGAAAATTAACATATTTCTCAATATGATAAGCTTCTTCTGTAAGTTCTTAAATTACTTATTAATTTCTTTTATTAGTTAGATATTGAAAAGTATGACATTTCTTTCTTAATCTTCTTTTTTCATTAATGAATGATTTAATTTCTTCATTATATTTCTCAATAATATTTATTCTATCATATTTATTTATAACATAATGTACATTTGGACAATTCTTTGAAGTATGATTTGGTGCTTAACAAACATAACAAAATAAATTTAAATCTTCATAATCCTACTCAAATTCAATTTTAAATTTCAATTAAAAAAACTATTCAATATCTTCAATCTCACATTATTCCAAAAATGATTTTCTTGACAATCGAAATAAATTAATGAAATTTCTAGCTTTCACAGATGCACATCTTGGGACATTGCCAAAAAATGATATTTCACCAAAATATTATTTTTTACTCAATTCCATTAATTCAATAATTCCTTTAGTTTTTGGTATACATACTGATACTCTCCCATTTAATATAAAATAAATAGATGTATCATCATTAATTTGATCATTTTAATTTATAATCCAATCTTCTGGATTGTAAACTATAATAATTATAAAATATTATTATACTTTCTTCCTAAAATGTAAATGCTAACTTTTTCAATAAAATTGAAGAAAAGTTCTTACTCAAAAATTTAATCTAATTCATCATTTTACCATGAACAATTTAAGTTAATTAATTTTTTAATGGTAATGATAATTTTTCAAGTGTATTATGAGCGTAACTCTTTTATAATTATTCATCTTCTATTAACCATTCTAAATAATTTTTAATTCTTGATTGCAACTTTTTATTAATTTCTTTTTATTTCATATATCTTTATATATTAATTTAATTTACTTTATTGCAGCAGTATTTTTATTCAATAAATCTTCTAATGATTCATTCATATTTTAAAATAATAATACAATTGAATTCATCACATAACCAAAAACACCTGAAGCTAAAATCATGACAAAAATTCCAAATGATCTTTCTATTGTATTTTTAGGTGATATATCTCCATATCCTATAGTAATCATTGTTGTTATGCTTTATTTCTTCTATAAAATCAAATATACCTAAAATATATTCCTGCCACATACTAATTAAACCATAAATCTGGATTATTATCTAATTCTTAATCAAAATTTATCACATATTGAGTATACCAATTGTTATCTGTTTCTTCAATAAATCTTATACCATTCCAAATACAAGCTAACCAATGAGATAAACTTAAAATTATTAAACAAATCTTAAAAAAAGATATTATAGAAATAATTGTTTTATCTAGTAATAATGAATCTTCTATTTAATTTATTATTTTCTTCAATTTTAATGCTCTCATTAATCTAATTACTTTTATAAACCTTATTATTCTCATAATTTTTATTATTTATGTATTTCTCTACAATTATTCTGAATTTTAATCATCAATAAATAAAGAAATCATATCATCATATGGAAATGATGATATTAGATCCAACCAAAACCATAATTTTAAATAATTTAATGCTATTTACTTTCTCTAACTTACAAAATTACCCCTAACAAATATATATTTCTTTATTAATACTTTTTATAATAGCCCGTTTAAAATTACAACAAAATATCAATTAAGAAATAGTAATCCATTATATCATTAAAAATAGCAAAAGCACCTGATATTTCAAGACTAAAAGTCAAAATTAATGGAATTGTTATCATTTGAATAAATATAAATGACATTCCTATCAAATCCCATATTATTTTTTTAGGTTCTTCAGGCCTTATTATTTTAAACAATAATAAAATAACCCATTTTTATTACTAATTCAATTAATCTTCATTGTGTTCTTCTAACTTTTTTAATTATTCTGCATCAATATATTATTAATCTTTTAATAAACTTATTTATGTTTTCTTCTAATTATATTATGAATCATTTAATTATCCATATGATTAATCACCTTGATTAAATCCACTATGTACCTATTAATTGCAATGCTTCATATTATATAAAGTTTTCTATTGCAGTATTTTAGATAATCAAACTTTGGATTAGATTTTATTTAATTTACATTTTATTTATTATTATATTCCTGAAACAAATTGAACTATGATTACGATACATATAAAGTAATTTAGTTTATTCATTAAACTTATAACAAAAATTAATTAATAGTATCAAATTTTCTTGTTTTCTCTTCTCCGAAAATCAAATTTCCAATTATGTTTATAATGTATTACTATCCAATCAATCTTGCATTACAAAATCTTAATTTTGTGGTAAATGTCCTAAATGCTTACTATATTAAATTATACTTTTAAATTGATTTTTGTTAGCTATTTTCTATAAAAGTCATATTCAATTCATATGTTGAGGCTACACTTAATAATTATTTATTAATTGAAAATTAATTATATTTTTAAATTAAATAGTTAGTTACTTCATTTTATAATTTTCTAATTGAACATGTCTCATTACAGTTTTTATTTTCTATATAATTTTCAATAAATTCATAATTGTAAGGTAATAATTTTAAATAATCTTCTTAAGGTATTAATTTATGATTTTTAGATATTGGTAAAGCAAGATTTAGTACACCTTTGTTATTTTTAATTTGATCAATATTTTAATTAGTATTTTCAATAATATAATCAAAGATAATTGGACATAATTACTTAATTATATGTATTTATGAAGATATAAGTGATTAACTTTTATTTTAAGAAGTTTATTTAGATTAAACTTCTTTAATTTAAATATGACATGTCCATTATCCATTAGAATCAGAATATTATATCTTTGGCTATAGATCAAATTAAGTAATTATGCTATTATATATATCTCTAATAGTAGCTAATTTCTTTTTTTGAATTATTTTAATAATAGTATTTTAATCTGATTCACTTAATTCATTTTTATGAGTAAAAGATATCAATTTCTTTTTACTACTTGGTTTGTAGTGATTTTCATACATATCATTAACATAGACAATTTATGTTTTATCAGTTTTTTGTGATTCTTGATCTAAATTAACTTAAGATAAATCAATATTTTGAAATCTTTGTAATTGATTAATTAAAAATTCTTTAAGGAAATTCAAGAAATCAATCATTTTTTAACATAAAAATAATGATTGAAGTTATTAAAAAGAGAGTTAAAATAAATGAGACCATAAATTTAACTATTCTATAAGAATACTATCTAGTTCAATTTATTAAATAACATTCTCTATTTATTATTATTCTGATATTTCGTGTTCTTAAATAGGAGAAGTTAATTTTCTAAGAAACAATATAAAGAGTTATCTATTATATTTAAATAGATTGATATAATGTTAAAGAATAGTATCTGACAATAGTAATTTTTCTGATCTATATCTCATGACTCTAAATTTGTTTGCCATACACAATGGATTATTGTCATCCTTGAAACCATTAGGTTCATACTTAGATATCGTTGAAATCATAGGACTATGTTGTTGTTTTACAAGTAAGTGAATATAAAGTTCATAAACTTTGCTCATTTTCTAGTTACTTTAAATTATTTTAACTAAAAAATAAAATAAAGTATTAAAATTAATCATTTTTTCTCTCTATTCAAACATCCAAATGCTAGAAATACTCTATCCATAAAACTTAACTTCTCTTATTATTATTATTATAATTAATGTTAATGCATCATAATTTCATTTCTATTAGAAGTTCGACTTATTCTTGGTTTATTAAATTCATCTTATTTATTATTATAGTCATTTTAATATGGTTTATAATTATTAGTATAATTATTAGATTATTCTTTTAATTTATTTTATTCTTATTAAATAGGTTTAGATAATGGTTCTTTATTTGGAATTTCAATAATATGTTTTTATTTTTATTAAAAGTTAGCTGTTGGTATTTATCTTGTTGGATATTATGTTTTATAAACATAAGTCCAAATGTCAATATTATAATTAGAAGCATGTTTAATCATCCATGGATTATCAAATATTTAATCCATAGTTAATCTTTCTCCTGGAATATATTTAAGAATTCCTTTAATTAAACAAATAACTTCATTTGATAATGTACAACTAAAATTGATTGGTTATCCAGATTTAATCTTATTAGCTAATTCTTCATTATTCCTTCCTCTATAAGGTGCATTTCCATGTAATAATTCATATAATAATATACCTAAACTCCAAATATCTAAACTAAAATCATGTGGTTATTTATTTAACATTTCAGGTGCCTATGTACATAATATATTAGATATTAAATACCATATATTCATATGTACCACAAAATGTCATTCTTTTTTCAGCTAAACTTTCAGCACTCCATCCAAAATCACATATCTTTACATTACCTTCATGATCTAATAATAAATTTTCAGGTTTAAGATCTCTATGAATTACTTTATTCTTATGCAAATAATCAATTCCTAAACATGTTTAAAAGAAATAAACAAATGCTTCATTTTCAGGCAATTTAGATCGTTTTTTAATATAATTAAATAGTGATCCATTTTCTATTTAATAAAGAGATTATACATGCATACTCAAGTATCAAATAAACATTTTCTTTATCTTCAAAATAATGATGCAATTTGCATATATGTGGATGTACCAATCTTCTTTATATTTTAATTTCTCTCTTTAAGTTTTCTACTGAACAATATTCAAAAACTTATCTCTTATTCATCTATAAATATAAATCAATATCATACAATCTTCATTGCATATAATAATCCATTCTATTTATCTTTTACTAATTTAACTGATCCATATGATCCTCTACCTAATTCTTATTTACTTCCTATAGTAATTATTTCAAATTCCTCAGGTTTCCTCCTTACACTTGTTGTTGAACATGAATCAATTGTATCATTGCAAGATCTTGCTCTATCTGGTTAAGATTTTTTACAAATCTCTTTATGATATATAGGCCTATATTGTTATTAAAATTAAATCATTTACCAATCAAGATCTCTACATCGAGTACTACAATAGTTGGCACCCATACATAATGGACACATTACTTTATTCAATTTAGATCTTTGTTCTATTGATGGTTGTCTATTGAAGTATTAGCAAGATTTATAATCACAGAATCTGTTCATTTTTAATAATTAACTATTTATAATTTATCAAATATTGTTTTTATATATAAATCATTCTAAATTTATTAATTCTTATAATATACTATTCTGTTCAAATAACTATATCTTCTATCTCATTATAGTGATTCAACAATTAATTACTTATTCCATTTTATTAATCAATATCTTATTATTACTAATTTTATTATTTCTGATTGTTATTACTATATTCAATAATTTTATTAGATTAAATTTATCATTCATATTTTACGTTTTAATTTAGAAGTATAACGACCTAATTGAAAATATATAATTTATTTTTTCCCAATCTTTTATTCTATAAATTATTTATCATTTTTGAAGCTAATATATTTCTGTTGCTACAAATATATTCTTTTTATCTAAATTTTAAAAATTCTTAAACAAAAAAAAGATGATTTTGTGAACAAAGAATATTTATTTTTAAATATAAAAATATAGTATTATAAGTATTCAACAAATACTTTAAAATGCAAATAACTCAAAAATCTAGTAACCATTATGAGACCATTTCTGAAAAAATTATATTGCCAAATTAAGCATAGCAAAAATGACAAATCCAACTAATCCCCACATAATGATAGACAATCTATCTCTTCTTTTTAAGTAATTAAAAATATAAGAACTAGAGAAATAGCATCCAATAACAGTTAATGTAAATAAAGTAAAGGCTTAGATTGTTCCCATATAACCAAGAATAATAACTTGAGCTGCAACTTAAAAAGAACTAAGTAAAACATTAAATGATGATGTTCCTGTACTTTGTATAGTAGTATAACCCATTCCCATATACATAGGTATAAGTATCATACCTCCACCTAATCCAAATCCATTAAATAATCCAGCTTTAATTGAATCTCTTAAACATTCTTTTTTTAATGGTTTTAATTCTTCTTTTTGAAATCTATCAAACATTTTATCGAAATAATAGTATAATGTAATGACTAAACCTAATGTAATTATCCAATAAAAGAAACCACAATAAGATACTCCAATAATAGATTAGACATTTGCAGATCCTCTAAGGAACAATCCAAGAAGAACAGTTACAACAATGATACAAATAGCAATTATAGTATCAAAATTGTCTCGAAATGAACTACCTTAAAGTAGTTATTGTTTTTCTTCGGATAATTTATTAAGTATTGGAATATCAAGTGAATTTTATTCTAATTTTCTTTAATTTTCATTGTTCCATTCTTTAACAGCAGTTTTATAAAACTTTTAACATGAAAAGTATAAAAAGTATTGTAAAATTGATATTAAAAAGAAAGCAGGTAGTATTTTATTAAGAATAAGGCCAACCATACTTCCAATTATCATACCTGGACATGCAACTATTGCACTTCTTATTTTAACAACTGGAGTTTTAGTTTATGGATCCAATTGTTAAACTAAATTTAGGAAATTGCCTAAAGCTGCTCCAAAAATAGGTAAGAATACTCCTAATAAAGCTTCTTTTTATGAATAATTAAAAAACATTGTCATCAAAGAAACAACAACTCCTCCTCCTCCTATTCCTAAAATAATTTTAATATTATAAATTACCAGCAAGAGATGCAAAACCTGTAAAAATGGCTATTATTAGCATACCTATCAACTCAGATAAGGTTGGTGGAAAGAAGTTCTTATGTGTACATATCCCATTAATACAATTATAAAGTTCAACACATTCTGATTGTAATGTACAAGCATGATTATTAATCATTTAAATTATAATAATAATATTAAAAATGAATAGTGGTGAATATCACAAATTTGAAGAATTAGGTTTAGATTAATGGTTATTGAAATTATGTTGGAAAATAGACTATAAAGAACCAAGACCTATTTAAGTTTTAAGTATTCCTCCATTACTTTAAGGAAATAATGTCTTAAGTAATCAAATTAATTAATAATAATTATAGTTTCATCTTAAACAGGTACTGGAAAGACAGCAGCATTTTCATTCCCAATTCTTTAAACATTAAGTTAAGATCCATATGGAATATTTGCTATTGTATTAACTGCCAATAGAGAACTTGCTGTTTAAATAGCTGAATAAATCTAAATATTTGGTGCTAGTGTTAATTTAAGATTAGCATTGTTAATTGGAGGACTATCCTCTTCAAAATAAGTTAAACAATTAGGATAAATACCACATATTATAGTTGGAACTCCTGGTAGATGTTCAGAATTGCTTAATATTGATGTTAATTTCTAGAAATATATTAAAAATGTTAAATATTTCATTTTAGATGAAGTAGATAGATTACTTGAACCATAAATTTGGGAAGATGTTAAAAATGTCTATTAATAATGTGAATCTCCATAAATTGCATTAGTATCAGCCACTCTTAATAATGTCACTCAATAATTGAAAGATCAATTTTCAGATCTCTAATTTATTGAATGTATAAATGACCCAGAATAGAAAGTATCAGAAACCATAAAACACAAATTTTTATTAATGCCAGATTTAGTTAAAGATTATTATTTTATTCATTTAATGAAAAAATTAGAAGGGGCATCTACTATAGTATTTGCTCCTACTTGTAGAAAATGTCATGAATTAAATGAATTACTTAATCATTTTTAAATTAAATCAACATGTTTACATTCTATGTTACCTCAGCATGAAAGAATTAGTAATTTAAGAGCTTATAGATCTTAAAAGACTTAAGTTTTAGTAGCCACAGATGTTGCATCTAGAGGACTTGATATACCAAATGTTAAATTTGTAATTAATTGGAATGTACCTAAAGTTGATACAGATTATATTCATCGTGTTGGTAGAACAGGAAGAGCTGGAAGAAGGTATATATTTATCTATTTCTATTCATTTAGAGGTACAGCTATAACATTGATGACTTAATTTGATGTCGAAAGAATATTAGCTATTGAAAATTTAATTAATTTAAAAATGGAAGAAATCAAATTCAATGAAGAAAAAGTATTATCAAATATGACAGATGTAACCAAAGCTATTAAAACTATTAAAATTGTAAATATTCATCATATCTTATAAGAAAATGTAATAAGATGGTACCACTGAAAAATTCTTGGATTTACAAAAGAAAAAAGTAAAATCAAAATAAAAAAGAAAAGAAACTTAAGAAGAATAATTACCATGATTTGTTAATATTTTTTTTAGATTACATTTATATTATACAGAATAAAGTCATTGTTATTCATTCTTCTTATACATTCTACTTTTTGCTTTTTAGCTTTTTCACTTATTTTCTCTCTAATCCTTATTATTCTTTCTATTTTTATGAGATTGGCTTCTCAATTTCTATTTATACTTCTTATTATGGTTTAACTTTCTTTTTATTTATTTTCTTTCCTCCTTTTAGAATTCCACTTTTTTATTTCTTAGCTTAAACTTCTTCTTCCTCTTCATTTATTAAATTATTCAATTCTTCTAATTCATTTTACACTTAATCTTCTTAATTATCCTCTTGATTTTCTTATTCTTCTTTGGCTTATTCCTCTAAATACTCTAGAAAATTTAGATTTTTATAGATTACTTGATAAATAATATTTGTATCTCTTTCCATTTACATGTTTAAGGACAACAGATTTCTTTTTGCTTATATTCTATCTAGTTAAATTACAAAATAATTTATTTCTACTTTATAAATATATTTTTTTACCTATCAGATTTATGCTATACAATATATGGTTCAAATTATGTAAAGTCAATATCATTTTCTTATGCATTTTTGTAGCTTTTTCCATTAAGATAATTGTTAAATTCTTATAAAGTTGGTAAGATTTCATGATGTGTTAAAATGCATTTAATTTTACCACTAGGCAAAAATTCAAAATGCTTATTATTTTAAACAAGCTTCTACAATTCTTTATTTTTATTCAAATTAGAATCGTTTACTTTAGCATTTTAAGTTTACTTTCCCTATTCTTTATTTTTATTCATAAATTAAAATATTTATTATATATGCTAACAATCTGCTTACTCGATAATTAATTTATATATAAAAATCCTTTAAAATTAATTGTTATTCAGTTTAATTCTGGGAAATAAATTATTGATGATTATTATGAAAACATTTTTAACTAAAAGAAAGTTTATAATGTTTTAATTGTTGACAAAAAATTAAATAGATATCAGTATCGTATATTAGAACACTATGACTGAATGTATGAGATTAGTGAATTTGAATCTCCTAAAATTATTATTAACAAATTTTAATTTTTTATTGATGGCCTATTTTATTCCAACAGTCTTCAATTTAATACATCTTCAGCCCTCTATTTTAATGTTAATGACATTGAAATAAGTGAATTGAAGATGCTTTTAGAAAAAATCTACTAAAATAATTTATTTTTGTCAAGAACCAAAAAATTATGCTAAATTTAAATAATATTAAATAATTAGGATTCTTTTAATAAAGATAAAATCTTCATTATTAATTAGGCTTTATTTACGAAGATTTAATGGAATAATTTATTAATTAGTTTAATAAACAAGAATTTAAAATCTCTTGGTTGTATATTTTCTTTAATTTTATTCTTGATTAAATGGTTGTGCTAGCTAGAATAAAAATAAGAAGCAAAATATCTAGGATAAATTATTTGAAATTACAACAATTATTATAAATATTTGATATCGAAATCCGTCGAGGATTTACATTTTTACAATATGACACTTTAAAAAACCTCAATATTAATTACTTCTTTATTAAAGCTAAAGAAATCATTTCCGAATTCATAAATAAAAATTATAATCTAAAACCTATTCAATCTAATTTAGAAATTGGAGTTTAATCATTTAGTTATTTAGCTTTACAATCTTGTGTATTTAATTTAATATTATTGGGAGATTATTACAATTAATGGCAGAGGAAATTATCTATGTTATTTAATAGAAAATGCATTAACAAGCAATTAATCCAAGAATCTTAATTGTAATACTGTTTGAAATGCCTTTAAAATGGAGCTATGTAATACCTAAAAATCAATTGCTCAATCAGATATCTAACTTAAATATCAAAGAAGTACCAGGTTTTGAACTTGAAAGTCACTTTTAATTGCTATCCTTATTACTTTTAAATTCTATAGAGCATTTAATTAGTAATATCGAAATAGAGAAGGCCATTAAACAAACTTTTTGAGTAAAAAACTTTGTATAATAATTATTAGTATTTATAATAAGTAAAAAAATTAAATATCTCTATAACAGATTAATAATCAATATAATAAATATTACTTTAGCCGAAGGTTAGAATGTTAAAAATAAATAACATTCATTTCAAAGCATATATATAAAAAAAGATTTTTGGACTTTTTTAATTTTATAAAAACTGATTTTAATACTAATAAAATTTTTTTTATTTAAACATTTTATATATAAAAATATTCTACATCCTAAAATTGATTTTGAGCATGAAGAAAACACCAAAATTGTGTCTATATACACTTAAATCTCAAGCTTTCTTAGGCTTTTCTTTAAGATTAAAATTTCACTATTATACACTTCTAAGAGAATAATTTTACTGTTAGCTTACTAGCTATTACATTTATTTATATATAAGTATTGTAAGCAACAATTCAAGTCTAGCCATCTTGTTTTTTACTCTTTCTATATACTTTTTTTTGTGATATTAGCTTTTATATATGGTATATTTGCTTTTTCACATTCATATTTATTTTCTCTTTGAAATATACTTTTACATACTTTTTTTTGTTGTAGACTTAATATTTGTCTCCTTTTGATTTTCTTTTTTTTTGATATAGAAATTTTTCTTTGATTTTTAATTCTATCGAAATTAAATGCCCTTGAAGCAACTCAGTAGAATATTTTGTCATTATTCTACCTAAATATGATGAGAATTCAACAAATTTTATTCTTTATATTGCTTATACTTCCATTTTAAAAAGCTGATATACTTTTTTTTCAATGTTACTATTTTTAATTTAGAAATATAAAGCTTATATTTAGCATAGTGTGAAAGTTTTAAAGCAAAGTATTAAATAATCAAAGGAAAAAAAGTCATAGAATATTTAGAACAAGTTAGAGGTATCTAAAAATATATTTTAATTTAATAAATGATGAGATTTAAATAAATTTATAAAAAATGACGTTGCACAGTTTCAAAGAGCGGCACTGGATGTTAAGACAGTGCTACAACTTGTTCAGGATAAAGTGACATTCAATGTTATTTTGGAGATTAAGAAGCTAAACAGGAATGTTATTGGACTGGAACCGAATGTGTGAATAAAACATGTGATAAAGCTCCGACAGATTATAGAACACATGAAAAATGTTAGTCATATAATAAATAATGTACTACAAATGATGCAGGATGTAGAACTATAACTGCTTGTGCTGATGCAAAAAGTCAAGAAGGATGTAAAATCAATAATCTTAATTAACTATGTTACTAAGGATCTGGTGTATGTGTGGATTACATTTGTGATAAAGCCCCAACTACAAATAACACTAATACGCTATGTGATAAATACAAACCAGGATGTGTAACAAAGAAAGGCGGAGGATGTAAAGATAATGGAGCATGTAGTAACTCTTGATGAAGAAGCATGTTATTTTGATAAAAATGGTGGATAATGTGTTTTCAATGTAACCTGTAAGGAAAAAACTTGTCCAAATGCTCCTATTAACTCGGAAAGTCATGATGCATGTACTTAATATAAGGATACTTGTACAGTAAATGCAAATAATAAAGGATGTAGAGATAGATAATGTGACAATGCACCACTTAGTATCAATTCAGTAAGTGATTGTGAAAAGATAAATCAAAATGTATTCCAAAAAAGGGAGGTGGTTGTTAAACTCATAAAACTTGCGATAAAATTGATGTGAAAGAATCATGTGTTAAGGATTCTAATGGCAAGGATTGTACTTGGGATGATACCTTGGAATTATGTCTTGATAAAACTTGTGCAAATGCTCCTGCTGACAAGAGAACTTCGCATTAACTATGCTAATCTTATATGTCATCATGTACAGTTAATGTTTAAAAGAATGCTTGTATTGATATGATTTGTGAAAATATTGTGGAGGGTGATGATTGCAAAATTGATAAGAATGGTGAAAAATGTAAATATAAAGGAACTTGCTACCTTTAAGAATGTCGTTTAGCATCTTAAACTATTACAACATATACTGCATGCTAATCATTTATGGATTCATGCACCTTAGATAATTCTGGTAAGGGTTGTATGCCAATACCTCCTACTTGTGGGGCAATAACAACATAAGAAGGTTGTGTTAAAACTTCATCAGGTTCAGAATGTGCATGGGCATCTAATAGATGCTAAGATAAAACATGTAGTACAGCTCCAACAACTACAACAGATAATGACTTATGCAATACTTATAAATCTAATTGTTTAGTAAATAATACTGCTAATGGATGTTTTGATCCTACTACTTATGCTTGTACATCCCGTTAGAATGAAAATAATTGTTATTCAGCTGTTGGATTAAAATGTGTTTATAGTCCATCTAAGAAATGTTAAGCTAGAAGTTGTGATACTGCATCTGATAACACAATTACTTTACCTAGTTCCTAAGGATATTTAACAACAATTTCCAATTCAGATTGTGATACATATCTTACTGGTTGCATTTGTAATAATGCAGCTAATGGATGTAGAACTAAAGCTAATGCATGCAGCGATTACAATCGAGAAAATTGTAGTTAGCAAACATCATCAGGTAAATCCTGTTATTTGAATTCTGATAATACTTGTGTTGATCTCTAATGTGAAAAAATCAAATTGACAACACATCCTGATTGTGACGGGGTCTTAGGAATGAACAATACATGTACTGTAGCTAAAGGAGCTTCTCCTACCAATTGCATGACTAAATTAGAGAGTTGTGGATAATATGAATAAAATTAATGTAAAAGTACTAAATCTGGAAAAACTTGTATATGGGCTTCTAAATCTGGAAAAACTTGTATATGGGCTACTAATTCATGTAGAGAAGCTACATGTTCGGATGCTACAGATACATCCTCATATTAAGATCATTTATCATGTAATAATTATGTCAGCACTTGTACTGTTATAGAAAGAGTAGATAATAAAGGTTGCATACCAAGAAAAGCTAATTGTAGCGATTACACATCTTAACCTTAGTGCGTGAAAAATTTAGCTGATAATGATTGCTATTGGAATGGAAATAATTCCTGTGTGACTTTAAGTACTTTGACATGTGCTTAAATTGTTTTAGGAACCTATAATATTGGTAATTGTTAAAATGTTAAATACTCATGTAAAGCAAATACAGGATCAACAGCTTGTGAAAATAAAGTTTGTGCTGATTATACAAAGACTGATGGAAAGTCAACTGGATCAACAGCAGTTACAACTTTTGCAGAATGTAAAGGTTTAGATCCTTCTTGCACTATTGATAATGCAACATCTGATAAATCATGCATGACAAGACCAACAACATGCACAAGTACTAATGCTGCGACATGCACTTTTTCAGATTAAGGGTAATGTGTTATGTAAGGTGCTAATTGTATCATATCAACTGCACTTTGTAGTTCCAAAACAGGAACCAATCTAACATACTAAGATTGTTAAACTTTTAATAATAATTGCTCGGTTAATTTAGCAGGAACTGCTTGTGTTGAAAAATTAGCTACATGTGCTGCTTATACTCTGACATAATGTAGAAAATCCACTGCTGGGTTGTGTAAGATTGATACAACTTGTGTTGATATTGATTCTACAATAAATTGTGCCTTAATTGTTAATACTGGTAGTGTTAAGTTAACATATCAAATATGTCAAGATTTTAGTACTACATGTTCAGTTAAAAACGATGGATCTGCATGCATAGCTAGAGGAAGTTGCACATCTTATGGGACTACAGCCGCTAGTTGTGTAAAGGGTTCTGATGCTACATGCATTTTTAAGGAGGTATCAGGTACTGACACCTGTGTAGCCTTTGCAGGTACTGATTGTGCTTCTAAAACAGGATCAGCTAATGATTATGATGAAGCTAAATGTTAATTCTATCATTCTGATTGTTATGCTAATTCAGATGGTTCAGCATGTTATTAGAAGAAAACAAATTGTTCAGATTATACTACTACTGGTATTAAAACATGTTTAAAAACATCAGGAGGAGCTAAATGTTATTGGTATGCACCAAGTAGTGGCACACCTTCTTGTATATAAATTACAACAGCAAGCACTGATTGTAGTAAAGTAACAGGAGCTTCAAGCTCATTATCATACTCTACTTGTTAAGGATATAATACTGGTTGTAGTGTAAATAGTACAGGATCAGCATGTGAAGCGAAATCATGCACAAATAAACCTTCTCCTCATACCCATATTGCTTGTTCCACATATTCCTCTACTTGTGCTGCCAATAAAGTAACTGTAGCAGATGCATGCAAAATAGCACCAAATAAATGTTCAGATGTGGCTGTTAATACAGATTGTATTGGTTCTGTTACTGACGGGGAATGCGAATGGATTTTTGGTTCAGAAGGAGGAACATGTGTGAAGAAAACTTGTTATACTAAAATTAGTTCTATTGCATTAATACATTCAGATTGCACAACTTATTTGAGTAGTTGCAAAGGTTGGTGGATGTACACCTAAAGCTGCTTGCAATACTTATTTATCATCTGAATAATGTACTAATGGAGGAAACTGTTTCTGGAACAGTAAGAAAGCTATGACATGTGTAGATCGTTCATGTGATAAAATTGAGGATGCTTATAATACCCACGCATTATGTAGTGGAATAAATGGATTAACATGTACGGTTAAATCTACAGGTGTGGGATGTCAAAGTAGATAGGCTTAATGTTCAAGTTATAATGAAAAAAATTGTATTATCAACTAATCTGGGTGGGAATGTGTATTGGTTACTTAAGAGGATGGTACTAACAAATGTATGGAAAAAGCATGCATAACGGCGGGAAGTGCCTATACTGATTATAATGGATGCTATAATTATTTTAAATTAAATTCTGGATCTAAAAATGAAGAGTAATGTACCGTGGCAATTGTTACAGCTACAGATGGAACAGAATCCCCTTAAGGTTGTCAAAAGGTGTAAGCATGCACAAATTATAAAGAAGCTTAATGTTATATTGATTCTGGGGGTAAGACCTGCGTTTGGGATGCCACAGCTGGTTGTAGAGTTCAAACATGTGACACAGCACCTAACACAGAGAGTTATGATACAGATGAGAAATGCAAACAATATTTAGCAGATGGATCATGCACAGTTGCAGATGATGATATGGGTTGTATTGTTAGACCTGATAAATGTGAAGGAATGACAGAAAAGCAATGTATTAAAGATAAAGCAGGAAAAGATTGTTAATACTTAAATGGTGCATGCTATACTAAATCTTGTTCAACTGCACCAGCAGAAATTGACACAAAAGATGAATGTGTTGCTTATTTCCCTGGATGTACAATGGATGAAACCAGCAAATGTAAACTTGAAATTTGTGAAGATTTTATTTTTACCACTGATGATGATTGCCAAAAATAAAAACAAGGATGTACTACAAATGGTACTAAATGTGTGTTAAGAACTACATGCTCAGCTGTTACTAATGAAAAAGGTTGCGTCACAGAAAGGAAAATTGGAAATAATACACCAAATAAATGTTAATGGTTATCTAATTCAAGCACATGTGTTGTTAGAACATGTGATACAGCTCCTGTTTCAGCTGATTATGATACTGAAGCTGAATGCATTGCTTATTTACCTGGAGCTGGATGTACAACCAAAAGGGGAGGAGGATGTGTTAAAAAATCAACTTGTGCTAATGCAACTCATGAATCAGCATGTAATACTGGAGATATTCATGGAAATCAATGTAAATGGGACGTTGATAAATGTAGAGACTAAGTTTGCTAAGACTTTACCTTCTCTACACATGCTGAATGTTAAAAAGCTTCAAATAAACTTAAATGTACTGCTGGACCTAATGGTAAATGCACTAATTAATTAACTTGTGAAGATGCAGTTAGAGCTGCTTGCATCGAAGGTATTTATAATGGTGTTTCCCAACCTTGTCTTTGGATAGAAGAAAAAGGTCGTTGCTTTAAATATCTTTCATGTTAGAGTTTAGAATGGGATAAACATGAAGAATGTCAATATATTTCTAATTAATGCACTGTTAATTAAAACAAATGTTAAGCAATTACTTTGTGCAGTGAAACAAACACCAATGGAGGATGTAAAGTAGGTTATGATGGTCCATGCATTAAAACTGTCCCAGCAATTGATTCTAATGATCTTGCTGTTTGTAAAGCCTACACTTCATGTGCTGATGCATTCTATAAAACTCACACAGGTTGTAATGATGCAAGTGATAAATGTACTACAAATGGTGCAACATCTTGTGCTCCTCTTGGAACTTGCTCATTATACACTATCTAAGAAGCATGTGTTCTCAATAATGTTGGTGCAGTTTATGATAAAACAACTGGTGAAATTATATCCACTGGTAATTGTGCTTGGGAAGGTACTCAATGCATAGATTAAACTTGTAAGTATCTAGTCCCTGCTAAATCTCATCAATCCTGCTATAATTAATTGAAAGGTTGCACCTCAGATGGTGCTAATTGTATTTCTATTGCCGCTTGTGCTACATACACCACTGAAGTAGTCTGCATAACTGCTAATGGATCTGATGGACCAAATGGAAAATGTCTTTGGGATCCAGAAGCAAATAATAAAGCAGGAGGATGCAGAGTTTTCTAATGCTCAGATATTAAAGAAGTTACATCAACTCCTGTTTGCTAAGCTACCTTATCAACCTGTGTTTCAAACGGAACTGCATGCATTGAAAAAGCTAATTGTAATAGTCCATAGTATTAAAATAAAATATCATGCAATTCTGGAGGAAAAGATGGAATTTGTATTTTCACTAAATCCACTGCTACAGGAGCTACTGAAAACTAAGGTACTTGTGCTTTGATGACATCATGTGATTCAGCTAAAAATGATTCAAAAGCTTGTACAGATGCTAAGAATAGATGTTCATGGACTCCACAATCAACAGCAGGTACAACTACAGTTCCAAGTAAATGTTAAACTCATTCATGTGCCACCTATAGATAAGCAAATGGTAATTGTGGAAATTTCTACAGCTGGGACTTTAAGACCCAATAAGTTTGTGTTACTGAAGGTTCTGATTGTAAAGAAAAAGATCCATCAACATTATCCTAAGATTTATGCTACACAGCCACTGCATATGCATATACTTGGAATGCTTCTACATCTAAATGTGCAGTTTGCACTGCTGTATAATAAAATAATAACACAACAACAAATCCTAATACAACAACTACACCAAATAACACAGATGATTCAGGATACATTCTTGGTTTTACAACTGTTATTTTAGGATATCTAGTTTTCTGATCCAAATGATTTTTAAATTTATATAGGAAAAAATTATTTTAAATTATTTCAATTTGTTCCTTTCATTTATTAAAGTTCATCTCAATTATCAATATATATGTTAAAAGTTCAAATGAAGAATTTTTAATAAAATAATGTTTTCTTCTTATTAATTCATAAGAATTAATATTTATAAATTTATTAAAAAGACATTTTAAATCATAGAAGAACTCCAATCATGTTTGAAGATGAAAAGATATTTATTTAAAATTTTTTCAAAAGATCCACATGAAAATTTTAACAAACTAACTTAAAATTCAGAGAAGCTTAGAAGCTAGGAATATGAATTTGATTAATCTAATTGGTTATTGGTAGACTATTGCTTACAATTCAACCTCTAAAGGCATTATATATTTGTCAAGTTTTTTTAATTTTGAATAATACACTTTTTTTGAAGTACTTAAGAGTTCAAGTGAATTGATGTTTTCAAATAATATTAATCAAATAATAATTTCCTTGAAAATTTATCTAGTTAAGAAATTCTTAAGAATAGAGGAGTGAAAAATTTCATGTAAGAATCTGAATTTTTTGAGTTCTGATAAATATTATTATATAATTGAGATTATAAAAAAGTTAATATTCCAATATTGTATTAATAAATTAATAATCAATAAGAATTGATATAATAATTTCATACTTGAAATTAATCTAAATTATTTTCAGTTTGGATAAGCCTTAATTAATTCCCTTAATTAAAATGATTATTTTAAGAAGGCAACATCACACATTATTTATTGTTCAATTAATCTATTAGATTGCTTATTTAATGTTCTTCATCTATAATTTCATTCATGCTTTCTGATGTTTTTCTTTAAGGGCTGAACTCTGGTTATTATTGAGCGTAAGGACTGAAATCATATTTTTTTATGGATGGTCTTTAATTGATAAAATTGATTCCAGTAGTTTAATGTGATTTTCTTTTTATATCATATTCACTTTATTCAACCATTTCTATAATGGTTTTAAGACTTGGTAAATGCCTATTGAAATGTTATTTTTGCATTTTGATTTTATCCTTAGTATTTATAAACCATGCATGTTTGATAGCATCTTAAACCTAAATTCTTTTATTGGGGTCTTTTTCTATCATTTTCTTTATTAAATCTAATTAACAAGCACTAAAAAGATGTGGAAAATCTGAATCTAAACACTTTTAAAATTTTATTTCTTATTAAGATATAAGAGTTTCTCTGTTGTTTAAGATCCTTTGAATAAATGAATTATTCAAATTTTATGATATTCCATAAAAGCTTACTAACAACAAAATGATTCCTAATTAATATATATCACTATTAACTGAAGGTATTTAATTTTAATTAATTTCAGGAGCAATAAGATATTCAGAAACAGTTTTAACATAATAATCAATAGATTTTTAATTATAAAGCTATGTTAAGCATAAAATCTTACTTTATAAATTGGATTGATAACATAAATTCCTAGTTATCCTTATTGATTGACTATAATTATATTATCAAAAGTTAAATTTCCATGAAAAAGGTCTTCATCTTGTAAACCTCTCAAATTTTAAAGAACAGAAAAAATTATAAATGCTAAATCAGCTTAAGTAAGCATCTTTTTATTATTAGATAATAATTATTCAAAAGTACTACCAATAAATTATTCAGTCACTAAATAAAGTATATCATTATCATCAAAAATACTTACAATAGGAAAAACATTTTGAATGTTATTATTTCTTAAGATTTTAATATAATTATTAATTATTTCTTACTAATCTTAGAATTTGAAATTTTTACGGTTTATAATTTGTGCTGCATATTTCTTTTTCTTTTTTTTATGAGATATTTCATAAAAATTTAAACATATATTATCTTAAATTCTGTATTTCTTAAGAAAATCAATTTATTTTGCCTAAAATTTTAAAATCTTAAACCATTCTTTTTATGACATAGGATGTGAGAATATTAAAATTAATCTTCCACCATTATTTTACAAAACAATTAGAAATAATTAATTATGATTACAATGAAATTTCTTTTTCTAGATAACACAGTCACTTAAAACAATACAATTAGTTTCCTAATAAATTAATAAACCATTAGCAATTGATATGAATTTTAATTATATAGAATTGTTAAGCATAACATGAGAAACTCCTTGCATATCATAGTTTTCTATTTCAATGTGTAATTCGATAAAAGACATTAACTATATTGTTGATTTAAGTTCTTATATATTATGTTATTTAAGCACCCATTCTAAGTTTACACTTGCTTCTTTTGTTTATAATTTGTTTAACCTTTCATTGTCAACTTTATTTACTCTCTTTTGCTTCATTTAATCAGTATTTTAATATTCTGATAAACTTATATGATTAATTGAATAATATCACAAAAATTTCAGATTTCTTTTAAGATTTTCATTCTAAAATGAACATATTAACTATTTTATTTAAATTTTATGATGAATTTTCTCATAATAACTATTAAAATTGTGATTTTATATATAATAGTTTATAATGAAAATAAATTCTTAAATTTTCTAGGATTTAATGATAATCTGAAAATAAATTGCCAAAATGTATCAACAACAATAATTTGATAGATGAAAGATTGCTTAAAAGTATTTTCAACTGTCAGTATAACTAGCATAGATATACAAGAATATTCTTAATTGTAAGTATATCAACAATCAACTCATTTAAATTGATATTATACAATACACCATATAACAAGTAGCATGAAATTAATTTTATCAGAACAAATAATCTCTTTATTTTTACAGAACTTTTTATTAAACATAATACTAAGTGATTATATCAATAGAATCTTGATTAATCTTTTTAATTAAAGTATTTTTTAATCATTCTGATTTCAAGTAATCAATCTGATTTCAAGCAAGTTTAAAAATTTATTTGAATTCTTATAAATATAATTTGAAAATACAATTATTTTTTTAAACTACCGACTCCTAAAAATGAAAGTAATTTTATTTTAAAAAAAAGTAATAAAAACTTTATTTATATAATTATTCAATTTAGAATTCCTTAAATAAGGATCAATCAAATTAATAGAGTAGAACCAAATTCTTCCTTTTTTACAACATAGATTGAATTTTTGCGAAATCTTAATTATAAAATGAAACAATTTGAAAATTTGAACCTAAAAGAAGCTAATGTATTAATATAGAAATTTTAGAAAATAATAATTAAAAAAAAATAAATCTTATAGATATGATATTCCTTTATAAATAATTAAATAATATATAATATTAATAGTAAATTTCTAAATATGTATGATAAGTCCGGAATCAATATATAAGTTATTTCATAGAAGAAATCCTATCAATGCTTGTTATATGGATTTTAAATATATCAAACAGTGAAACTAAGACTAATAAAAACGAAAATAATAATTTTATAATTATCTTTCAAAATAAATAATCAGGATAAGATTATTATTATAATAATAAAAATTATTCTCTTATTGCTCAAAGTTAAATTATTTGGAAGAAAAGTTTATAGAATTGTTAAAAAGTTAAATTTATAAAAATAGAAATATGTATTCATTTAAAACAGGAGTAGGCTATTTTAATAGAAAATCTAAGAATTAATTGATTGAAACAATATGAAAATCATCAGATAATAAAAAAAATTCATTATCAGTTTGATTTACGTAATGAGGAAAAGTATAAATTGATTTTAACTACTCCACATGATTAATTATTAAACGTTGATATACCACCAAGATTTATTATTGCAGTAAACAAATTTATAAATTAGAATTTTCTAAAATAATTGATAATTTAACTTAACATTAGTTATTTAATTGATATGTTGTCTAAATAAAATAGTAAATATTAGTATAAATTTTAAATTAGTTATTTAAAATCAGGTTCAACAATTTTNATATAATTTGAAAATACAATTATTTTTTTAAACTACCGACTCCTAAAAATGAAAGTAATTTTATTTTAAAAAAAAGTAATAAAAACTTTATTTATATAATTATTCAATTTAGAATTCCTTAAATAAGGATCAATCAAATTAATAGAGTAGAACCAAATTCTTCCTTTTTTACAACATAGATTGAATTTTTGCGAAATCTTAATTATAAAATGAAACAATTTGAAAATTTGAACCTAAAAGAAGCTAATGTATTAATATAGAAATTTTAGAAAATAATAATTAAAAAAAAATAAATCTTATAGATATGATATTCCTTTATAAATAATTAAATAATATATAATATTAATAGTAAATTTCTAAATATGTATGATAAGTCCGGAATCAATATATAAGTTATTTCATAGAAGAAATCCTATCAATGCTTGTTATATGGATTTTAAATATATCAAACAGTGAAACTAAGACTAATAAAAACGAAAATAATAATTTTATAATTATCTTTCAAAATAAATAATCAGGATAAGATTATTATTATAATAATAAAAATTATTCTCTTATTGCTCAAAGTTAAATTATTTGGAAGAAAAGTTTATAGAATTGTTAAAAAGTTAAATTTATAAAAATAGAAATATGTATTCATTTAAAACAGGAGTAGGCTATTTTAATAGAAAATCTAAGAATTAATTGATTGAAACAATATGAAAATCATCAGATAATAAAAAAAATTCATTATCAGTTTGATTTACGTAATGAGGAAAAGTATAAATTGATTTTAACTACTCCACATGATTAATTATTAAACGTTGATATACCACCAAGATTTATTATTGCAGTAAACAAATTTATAAATTAGAATTTTCTAAAATAATTGATAATTTAACTTAACATTAGTTATTTAATTGATATGTTGTCTAAATAAAATAGTAAATATTAGTATAAATTTTAAATTAGTTATTTAAAATCAGGTTCAACAATTTTTTTTACAAATATTTTGTTTCATAGAAATAATTTGCATAAATTTTATTTAAATAAAGACTTAGTTAATAAGCAGAATAGTAAATTTTAATTAAGAAACTTTAAATTATTATTGATTATTATTTTATATTTAAACTAACAATCAAGGAATTAATTTGTACAACTCTCAAACTTCCTAAGGTGAATATCTTTATGCTATAATTAAACTTTTATAACATTCTTGTATTAGATTTTAACATATGAATTTATTTAGTAAATAATATAAATAATGTTTTCAAAATTGAACATAAGTTTAAATGAATAATTGAATATTAATAAATAAGATAGACACTTACTTAGTTTTTAAGATTTTTAATAATAAAATAATATAAATATAGAATTATAATTAATTTAAAAAATCAAATGTAAAGTACAAATAATTCCTAACGATCAAATTACTTGTAAAATTCAAGTTCATCAGCAAGAAGAGCAAGAATATTTGATACTTCTTAAAGTTCTGAACATAGAAATACTCCAAGCATAATTCCAATTTCAAATAGTTAAGTAGCAAGATCTCCTTAAATATAAACGGAAGAATTTAATGTTTAAGGATTGTAGTAAAGTTAAGTAAGTGAAGTGTAAATAAATGATTTAAATAAAGTTAATCAATTTTAAAAATTGCCTGATTTAAGTCGTTGTAAAGTAAAATTTATCAAAAGAGAAAATTAATCTACATAAACTGAAGCAGATGATAAAGATCTTATTATTAGAGAATAAGAAGCATTAATAAAATAATTATAACGCTAAATTTAATAATAAAACAACCCAAATATGGAATTTTCTTTTCATAAAGAGAACATGGATTAATAATTAATGTCACCCAAATATAACAATTGTGTTGGAAATAATTAAACAAATTCAAATTTAGGAAATAATTCTTTAATGACAAATTCACCATATAAAAAATAATCAAGATAATAATAAAATCAATTCTATTTTACTGCGATTCCATAATCAAATAATAAATCTTATATAATAAAACCTTAAAATACAGAAAAATTAGTATTAGAATATACCAAGCAAAAGTCCAACAAAGACTATTTCTTTTCGTAGATGGATTGATTCTTATTTATAGTATTTAATATAATAATTATTAATAAGTGCTTTAATGAATTCATTAAAATACACAATTGATTATACATCTACTTAAGAAAGAGAGACCTTTAATCATAATATTAATTGCATTTAATTTCAGACCAATTAAGTAATATGGATAGTTCAAAATCCATAAAAATATGAGACAATTATAATCAAATTTGAATTTCCTTGCAAAATTAAAGAATTTATTATAAGTACAATAGTGTTTTACTCTCTAGATTCAAAATCTTGTTCTTAAGTTAAAATCTCATTATACAATATTACAAACCAGGGTGTAAGAATCTAATAAAAACTATTAGAAAGTGCTAATTTTATGATTCAGAACTAATAGAAAAAAATTTATAATAATGATTTTGAAGATAATACATATCAATATGCTGAAATCATATTTTTTAGTTTGAACAATGAATTATCCATTAAATCTTTATAAGTTCTAGGCTAATCCATATAAAATATCAAAACATAATAATAATTAACCACTTAGGAAATTAGTCATAACAAATAAGTAATCAATAAACCTTAAAATTAATAGAATAAATCATCTGATTAAACATCTAATTTAAAAATCGATTCATCATCAGATCTTAAAATTAATCCAAAAAATTCGATTAGTTAAATGTATTCTTAAATTTTGTAAAACCCTATTTAATTTAATCAAACTTAAGAATAAGGAAAAATAGAAAGAAATGATTAATTGAGTGAAGAGTAATTATTTTAAAAAGCAATTGAAGAAAGCCTTAAAACACATTAAAGAGAATCTTAAAATTAAGAATTATAACAGCTTGAAATAGAGAAATAGTTAAATGATTGTTTGATGAAAGAATAAAATATGAATTAGAATTATATTAATGATTAAGAGTATGAAGAAATGATTTAATATAATTCATCTATGATTAATGAAGATTTTGTCTAATATCATTAAGCTTTGGAAAATTCCTATTTTAGAAAATCAAGATTATTTGATAATATGAATTAGAAATTCAAACCATTATAATATCAGTAAGTTTTTATTGTTAAAGATACATTAACAGATTATGAGTATAAAAGATTTGAATAAAAAGTGATTAATTTAGGAGGTATTGTTGTTAAATCAATTAATAAAAAGATTACTATCATAATTTCAGATAAACCTATTTAATTTGATAATAAGTATTAAAATATTTATGAAAATTAGAAAATAGAATATTTATATATTGAGTACTAAATTCTTGGAATCTTGTAGTATGGATAAATGGCCTAATTTTTAGATGTATGAAGTGAAATGATAAAATTAATTAATTTGTTCTTATTTTTTATTAAAAATAGAATTTTCAATGATAATATTAATGAAATATATTCATTATAATTTAAGTTCATCAAGCTCTTATTTATTATAAGTAGAATTATAAAATTTACTAATATATTTAATGTGGTTCTTGACATCTTATATTTTTTCACTAATCATTAGATCATGTATAATTTGAAATCCAGAGAAATATTGTCTAGATAAATCAGCTGCTACAGGATCATTAAACAATCTAGTAAAATCTTGTCTAGAAAAGTTTTTCTTATGTTCTCCATTTTTCAAAAAGGCTTTAATGGCTTAATTATCAGTATTTTTGCTACCTATAAATTTTAGAAAAATGAATACATAAAAATTTCTTTAATAAGACTCCAAAATTTTTAGGAATGTTTTTAGTCTCTGACTTTTATGGTTAAGGAAGGTCCTTATCTTTAATTTTAATTATCTTTCCTTTTTTATTTATTTTTTCAGATTCTGAATAATCATATGATCCTTCAGTTGAAATAGAAAATCTATTTTAATCTTGTATTCTAGATGCTGTCATGAATTGTGTTTATGCTTCATCTTTAACATATTTGTGAAACGAAGAGTTAGGGTTTGAAAAATTGATTGTTGAAAATTTGAATGGTTGATTCTGCAATTACTATTAAATCATTTTGAATTTCGTATAAATAAATAATTATTTATGTAAATGATTATATTCTATGAAGAAAAGCAATGATACTTTAAATAATTGCAATAAAAATTACTTGATTTTAATTAATTATTATTATATTAAATAAAAAATATACTTAGAAGAACTAACATAATTTATTTATTATATATTTATATATATATGAGTCATTAATTATCAAATATTGAGAAAATAAAATAGTAACTTCATCTTTAATAATAAGTTAAAGAAATATTAGGAAAAGAATACATAGATTTATAAAATAAAGAGCATTTTAAAGTATATATAAGAATAATAATACATAAAGGTTATAATTGAGATTTTAGAGAAACCAAAAAAACAAAGAATATAAAATGAATTATAATTGTTATCAATGGCATTTTCATCAATAAAATATTTTTAAGAAATGAGTAAGACCACAAGTTAAGATGAGATGTTAAATTTATTTAGAGTAAATTGTGATATTAATTTAAGGAATTGTAATATATAGAAGTACCAGCAAGAAGAACTTTATTTCGTTTAGGAGATATTGGTAAGAATTTTTATATAATATTAAGTGGATCAGTTTGGGTAATGTATTTAATAATTATAATAGGTATTAGTTGGTAAATCAGGACTTTAAATTGGAGGATTTACAAAAGATGATAAAAAAGTAGAACATGATGAAGGTACTGTATAAGTATAATAAAATAAATAATTTAAGGATGAATATGAATTTACGGAATTAGATGATGAAAATATGTTATAATCTAAATATCCAAATATGATGAAAGTAGGATAAATTGGATAAGGAGGAAGTTTTGGTGAAATTGCTTTAACTAATTTTATTCCTAGATAAGCAACGATTGTTTGCAAAGAATATTCATAATTTATTACTTTATCAAGAGAAGCTTTTAATAAATTTTTATGTATTATTATTCATTAATAAATTAGCTGAATATTATAGTAGAATTCAATTGAAAAATTTTGAATTTTTGAAATCGATTTCAATATTTAATAATTGGAATGATGCTGAATTAAATTAAATGTAATATCATTTATAACCTATTGAATTTTGTTATAATACTTAGATTTATAGAGAAGGAGAATTTGTTAAGTATATTTTTATATAATTTTAGAGGTGTATATTTTATATTAGATGGATAAATTGAAATTACTCAAAATGCTAAAAATGATAATCAAAATGAAAATTAAATAGCAAAGAGAATGCATAGATCCTTAAGTATTATAATTAAAATTATTAAGGCACTAAAAATATTCAATTAAAATTAAATAGATGTGGATATGGTTAACTATTTGGTTATTTAGAAATAGTTTAAAATCATGATTATAGATAATCAAAAGCTGTATGTCTAACTGAAAAATCTAAAATGCTATTTTTACCTGCAGATGTATAATAATCTTAAATTTATTAGAGATTCAAATTGTATTGTTGTCATGGAGAAACACTTAATGAATTGAATAAATTAATTTCTAAATTAGATCAAAATAAAAAAATATCTAAAGAAATATTTCTAGGATAATAAGGATCTGTATAATTTAATGATGAATATTATTTCAATTCTTTAACTTCCCCTAATCATATTAAAACTTAAGATGATGATGATGATAGATATGAAAAAGTTAGTTTGACAACTAATAATAGATAATCTTAAAAAAATTAATAAAATTTTATGTAAAAAAACTCTGAGAGAAATTCTTATAAAAATTCTTAATAAAAATTATAAAAAGAAATTTTAGTTAAAATACAACATAAACCAACAAATATTTAATCTTATTATGAATTTATAACTTAACATTCAAAGGAGAAATCTTTATAATTAACAATAGAATGTCCACTTATAGAAATTTAATAGAGTAGAAAAGCTAAAGTATTATAATAGTAATTTTAATAACAATATTCAACTAAAAACTTAAATACACCAACTTAAAAGAATTTAGATTCAAAAGTATCATTAATATAATAATTAAAATTACCTAAAATATTTAGAAAATAATAAAAAGGAGATGATGTTTAATTATAAGTATCTCATTTCGTAAGATAACATAATTAAAGTGTTTAAATATATTGAAATATATAAAATATGTATTATCTTCATAAAAATAAAATAAAAAAAATTAAACAAATATTAAATACAAAAAGTTTAGGAATCATAACTTTAGTGATCTTTCACTTCTAATTGCTCCAAATTTTTCATTTAGTAAATTTTTAATTTTGAAATAATCATTATAAGTCCATGATTTGATTGTGTCTTATTGTTGATTCAACATTTTTAATGCCTAATAAAATAAAAGAATAGATTACTTAAGTCCATGTAACAAATCTACCTTTGACTCTTAATCTCTCTTCTGCAACTTTTTATCTAACATGATAATGAACTTTTTTCTCATATGTTCGACTATGTTTTTTTTCTAAATATCTAGCTACTTTCTATTTTCTAGCCATTTCTTTTAAAGATTCATGATTAGTTGATGTACATAATTGTTCAACCCAATCTTCAAATTTAAGAGTTTCTTCATCATTAAGAATTTCATCACATAAACCTATTTTGATTCTCATAATGTCATCAGATTTAAGATAAGTTGCTATAAATTCCTCTTATTTTAATGATGATTAGAATCTCATTTTCAAATTAGAGAAATGTTCATCAACATTAGTTGGAATAGGAAGATTCTTTGGATAAAAGAACTTTTTCTAATTTTCTTTTTAAAGTGTTGCAGCTAGTATTTCTAAATCTCCCATAGCATGATGATCTAATGATTACTCTTAGGTTGAACATTCTTCAATACAAATCTTCTTTCTTGGTTCCTCATCTAAATGAAATTCATCTAATGTTCTAGGATTAGGTTTCTTATATAAAGATAATTGATAAGGTGAATAAACAGGAGCTTAATCTTCTTCCTCTATATATTAATTAGGTTACTAAAATAAAAATACTATAATACTTATTATTCATCATCATTTTCTCTATAATGTGGTTCATCTAAGAATCTCTAATGATTTTATTAATCTTATATCATTTCTATACATTCTTCTCTTATGTCTTGATTAGCACTCATTTGAAGACAAGATTTTATATTTTTTAAAAAATCCTTTGAATTTTGACAAATAATTCTTCTATATTTATAATTACAACCATAAACCCCCTACACTAATACTTTTTATTAAAGAATTTCTTATAATTTTAATATTCTCATAATTAATACAATTATCTATACAAAATTATTGTTGATATGAAGAGATCATATGTTATATAATTATATATATATATATATAAATTCTATGATCATTATATATATATATATATAGTAAGTATATTTTCATATATTTATTTATTATTTCTCTTCTTCCTCAATAACAGAATCAAGTTTATCATTAATTAGATTTTCAATTTATGATATATTACGAGATGATACTTTACTACTTAAACTTTCATATGAATTCATTTAACAAAATGATGGATTATACAATTAGAAATCAGCATACTTTCTAGGACTTCTAGTTCTCTTACGTTATTCCATTCTTATTTTATAAGATGTTGGATTACATCTTTTTATTTAAGCAGCTTAACATTCTTATCCAATTGAATGTGTATCCTTTTAATCAACTAAGTTATATATATTTATATATTTAATACTTATTTAAGTTATTCCTGAAAATCCTGTAGCTTTATCCAAAATTTCTTATAAGATATTTATATTTTCTAATTTACAACTGAAATAAGGATGATCCAAACATTATTATGCTGAATATCTACTCTAAGGATTTGCATCTAACATTCCTTTCAATAAACTTAATGCTTCTTTTTACAATTTAAATTCAAATTCTTTAAAATTAATCTAACATTATTTATTTTATTCCATTATTTCTGTTGTATTTTCTGCTCTAAATAAGGTTTTCTTTGTTAATCTTTATTGAATATTATATTTATTTATTACAATTTGTAAAATATAACACCTGCACTAAAAATATCACATTTTTCACTAAAATACTCTTCATTATTAGTATTTTTTAAGATTTCAGGTGCAATATATCCAGGTGTTCCACATACACTTAATTTTTAAAGTTGTTATTTATAGATTGCTAATCCAAAATCAATAATTTTTAAAGATGTAATGTCATTTGGTTTTTATAACAATATGTTTTCCAATTTAATATCTCTATGAATTATGTTCATAGAGTCTAAATGATTCAAAGCTGTTATGATTATCTATTAATAATAAAAATTAAATTTACTTTAATAGCTTCTCTTATTTAATATTAAGGCAATTAATCATCTGGATATGACTTAATATAATTATACAATGTATTTCCCTCTAAATAATCTGTCACTATATAATAAGAGTTCTCTCCTTAATAAATTTCATATAATTTAACAAAACTTGGATGCTCTATTCTTTATAATATTTAAATCTCTTATTGTAATCTATTCTTAAAATTAAGAATATAATTCATACAATTCTATCGTTTGATTTCTTTTATAACAAATATCTCTTAGAAATACATTTTGCTGCATAAAGTGAAATACTTTTCTTACATTTCACCAAACATACTTTAGAAGATGCTCCCTAACCTATTATTTAATTTGAATCATAAAATATTGAAATGTTCCCAAAAAACACTCTGCCTGACAAATGTACTTTCAATAAGTTTAATGAATTATGATCTGAATCAAACCATTTTATACGATTATTATAATATATTCCAAATGAACATAATTCTTCATTCTCATTTGACTTCCACATTACTCTTGTTTCCCATATATATTATACAACATACTTTGCATTTTACATATTTTTATGCTTAATACTTATTTATTTTTTATTACTTCACTTAAAATCATTTAATCATCATGCACTTCTAAATAATATGTTTTACTTTTCAAGATATGCTTTCTAACACAACTCATATGATATATCACTTACATTTTATTTTATTGCTTATATAAATATAATAATATTATCTAAATATATATTTGAATTCAAAAACACATAGATTTATCACTTTATCATCATTAATTACAAAAATCTAATTCTATACAATAGAGACTCACTTAAATTATTATATTGCATATTTTTAATCATTAATCATTTTATCAATCAATCCGACAATCATATTCTTATTAATTACAACTATTAACATCTATAATATTCTAATTTAACAATAAAAAGAATGAATACTTAAAAATATAAATTCATAATAATCACACTAATTAATAACTGAATAAAAATAAATATATGTTTAACAACTATAATATGAATTTAAAACAAAACGAGCTTTATGAACAGTTGTATGAAAAGCTTCAAGATAATTTAAAAGAAGAATTCATTTAATTGATTGATGAATATGAATCCTAAATAAATTAGCATCTTTTTGAATAAGAAAAGTTGTTAGATCAAATAAACAATTTGTAATTGTAAACTCAAAATAAATTAGATTAAGAATTAGCTAAGTAATGTTTATTTCAAATATAAATTAGTAACTTTGAACTTTAAAAATAAATAAACTAGTTGAATGAATAATTATAGCAACAAAATACCTAAATTTCATTTTTAAATAAATCGATGAAAAATGTATATATTGAATAATTAGACTTGTTTTCTCCTATTAAAGCTCCTTCACTCTCTCCTCAAATAACTAGAACATAATGTAATATTATTATTTTATGATGAATTAGCAATAAATAAATAAGTTAAGAGAAAGTTATTAATGACAGATAAAGAAAATGATAACTTAGGTAATTGTTACAGCAGCATAAAAAAGATTAGATAGAATGAAAATTTTCTAGAAGAATAAGAATTTTTGATTTATTTCAAAGAGCAATGCATAAAAGAGTTTTTAGACAAATAAATGGAAAGAGAATAAGATTTATATAATTTATGGTAAAAGATGTAAAATAAGAGTTTGGAGAAGTGTTAGTAATTATAAGAAACAATAGATTTAGTCTGTTCTTAGATGGATGCTTATAAATAATAATATTATTAAGATATTAAACTCTATACTGATGCAATTTAATCACTTGAAATTAGATTATCAAAATATAAGATTGGTTTTCAACATATTTTATAAAATAGTAGCAATTAAATTGAAATGAATAGTATTATTCAAATAGCAAAGAGTTTGAATACTGAATTTAATAATGTGAATGATATGGATAAATTAATTGATGTCTTAATGGAATTTAATTAGACAAGCCAGAAATTTAATATAAGTCTTTAAAGTAATTAAAATATTAAGATTTAAAATATGTAAAATTAAATTGAAGAATTAGAATAGTAAAAGAAAGAATATAATGATATTAAAATACAAAGATAAGAATTATTAGAATTAAGTTAGTAAATGAATAGTAAAATAATATAACAATCAAATTAGATTGAAGAAATGAATTAATAAATAGCTTCTCTTACTTAATTATTTGCTAAGTCTTTATAAGATTTAGAAAGAATATAAGGTGAAAATGAAACATTAAGAAAATCTTATAATTTTAATACTAATTTCAGTAATACTGTAACAAGCAGAACTTAAGAGGGAAGTGTTAGTTTAAAGAATCATTTTATTGCAAATAGATATTCAACATATATTCCAAGAGAAAGTTTTAGTTGTAAGAATTCTTATCGTATGGATCAAAGATAAACAAATTTCAGTTCAGACTTTAAAAAATAATAACCAAATTATGAACTTGATGATATCTGTTGTTTATTAGATTAATTACTTAATCAAGGTTATTCAAATAACACTCTTGATTTCATTAACAATGTAAATTAATGAATTTAATGATAGTTTCAATGTTAGTGTGGCAATTTCAAAATTTAGATGCTATGGTAAAAACTAAAAGATTTCTTAATAATTGTTTACTATTCATATAATTAATAAGACGATATCTTTATATCATTAAACAAATTTATTTGCGATCTTAAATTACCAATTAATTAATTTGAATTAATTGTTGAAGATGGCTTATAATAAACAACTAGTAAATTAGAATCAAATTCTATTTTATTATGTTAATTATTACATCGATTAATATCTGATATTCATGATATGAAATCATCTTAAACATTTATTTTTGAATCTAATTTTAAGGGAGAATCTTAAAAAGATTATTCATAAAGTATTATGTAAGAATTGACCAATCTATCAAAACAATTAATTCACATCTGTTAAGAAAATGATGATATTATAGTCTTACAAATTGAAAGATAGATTGAAATACAAGAATAATTAAAACTTTAAAGAAATAAACAATTAAGGGATATTTAAACTAGTACTTGTAAGATTTTAATGGAATTATTTAAAGAATGGAAATAAAATTATCTAAACATTTCATAAATCTTATTAATTTTATGTAAGGGTTGGCAATAATTATAATAATAAAAATAGGATAGAGTTTTAGATGGAATATTGAAAAATGTGCATGATGAAATAAAATAATTATAAAAATCCAATTTAGGATAAATTATTAGTTAAGAATTGAAAACATTTTCATTTATATATAAAAAATGAACTCTATAATATAACAATATTTCAATCAAATTACTTATTCTAAAAAAGTTCTAGATCTATTTATTCTTCTTCTTGATTTCGACTTTTCTAGAAGATCAAAATTTAATACATTTTATATAAGTAATATATATTATTTAGATTAATTCCAAGATCTGGCTTTATTCAATGAATAAATTTCAGAGTTTTATAAATTAGATTAAGTAAGAAAAAAATTATATTGGAAGTATATATCGTTATGGTACTTTCAAATAGAACTTTATCTAAGATCCTACTTTATTAAATATTAAACGTTCTAATAAATCTTATAATTATTAATTCAACAATAAAACACTTGAAAAAAATACCTGTATAATACAAAATAT